AGAAATTTAGTTTAGTCCAGCTTTAATTTGCAAAACATCGAAAATTTCACAGGTCTAGGTTTTCACCGTCTAAGCACAGGAATCACGCGCCCAAGCATATGCTTGTAATAGCAAAGACAATCCACCGCAGAAGTCAGACCAAGCCAAAAAAGCGTACTTACAAACAGGCAATACAGAAACTTCCCAAATAATAGTTGAAATAGCGAAAGACAATTGTGATGAAGCATAATGAACGAAAATCAATGAATTTGAGATAAGTTACTACTCGGTTCCTGCTACAGTTACACAGAACCTACAAAACCAGTCTTTTGCTTTCAAACCCTGTTCTTAGAGTAAAACCCTCATACTCCTTAGCCATTAGATCGTTTTAAGTAAAAAAATTATAATGCACTAATAACTCCTACTAGACGAAGTGTGGCAAAACTTATCGTTGCTCCGAAACTTCTTCCCATCTACCGATCTCGTGAATGTCTTGCGAGAGAAATATTTCATACAAGACCACCTTTAGGCATTCTTATCGGATGCGTTAAATGAAAGACACATCAGCTGAACAAAATGCGACTAGTCTTTGCGGTAAAACTACAGGATCGGATTATGACAACCGGCCATAAGAGTAGGAACCATCTCCAGGCTGTGATTGTGGCAGACATTCGGGCCGTGGTCGACACATGACGGTGATGCGTCGATCCCGGTGAACGACGTGATTGGTACCAGGAAGCCGGGTATCATTGGGGAGGACGGCGTGGGTAAGGCGGTAACGAGTCGCTCCTCGCATTATGTAGAGCATGCGTCGGCGCACCCACACGTCCGTGGAGGCTCCCGGCGGAGGCAACGTGATATCCATCCGGCTGGTGGGTAGAAGGGAGGTGCATGGAGCAATTTCGCACTCCGGAGCCACGGTGAAGCGTACTACGCTATCTGCGAGGAGAGAGAGTACGGCCACCAGTCCACCGCAGAACTAAAACATCGATTTATTATGGCAGATTTTTCATAGTCATGACAAAAAGTTGAAGAACAGACATCCCAGTAATAAAACACCTACAATCAGTGAGCATTCATACGATATTCATTTGCGATACCATTGGCCTTT